ATGCCAAATGTGGTTCCTGTGGCACTTCATCCACTGGGATGTCAGGTGTCACATTTAAAGACTCTGGGTTCAGGTTCAGTATATTGTTTATGGTCCTCAACTTCTCTCTCTGCTTCTGTTTTGCCCTCATCCATATAAGAATCCTTTTTTCTTGATCCTTTTGGCCAATTTCATCAATTGACACTTGTTATTTTTTGACACTGAGTTTTCTTCTTTGGTAACTAAAAACAAAAAGAAAACTATACCACTACTACTACTACTACTACTACTACTACTACTAATAAAAATTTAATATTGGCAGGTGTTCCTGTTAATCACTCAGTTTTCTTTAGTTACTAAATACAAAATAGAGCCTATTGTATGCATTGTAAGTGTTATGATGCAATTACTACTATATAGTATTATAATAATAGTAATAATAATAATAATAATGAAATAATATAAATAATAAAAACAAATTATACTTTTCTCTTCTTTTGGCAAGTATCTCTTCTTTTTTAACAGGATCAGCTTTGATCCTTTCCCAATAGCGAGCTGCTTTTTCCTTATTTGATCTGCAAAAGTAAAATTTGGTCAAAATGATGCAATAATATACTCTGCACATTTCCTATTAATAAAATGTTGTATTTATTTATTCCAGATATGTACAAATATGACCTACATACATTGCTGTCATTCGGTACAACCATATTTTCGGTATTACCGAATGACACTTTTGGTAAAACCGAATGACAATATTTTCAAACAATGCTACAGGCTCATATCTAGCTAGCTAGCTAGTTAGCTGGCTAGATAGCTAGCAAAAAGACAATCAAATATTTTATATTTAGTACAAGTTTTTAAAATATTACAAAATGTTTCATGTTTTATAGCGGTTGTACCAAATGACCTGATATTTCGGGACATGCGTATAAGCAAGTGAGTTTTTCAAATAGTTAGAGTGAGTTACTTACTTAGCTTCATGACCATGGGGTCCTTTGCAGGTGTCTGAATCATAGACATAATAAATACATAGACGCCCTATTGGCCGGTGGAGCGTACGTCAACGGCGCCGCCATATTGCGGAGGGCAACTTTCTCATTCTCATAACGATAATTGAGGAAAATGCCTGTTTCGTGTGCTGCTTGGGGCTGTACAAATCGCCACACAATTGAAAACAGGTCTCGAGGAATTATCTTTCACAAGCAAGACTGAACATTTGTTTATGGTTGTATTTGGTCATGATATAATTAGTAATAGTAACGTTCAGAGGAGAAAAGGCGCAAAATTGTAGTCTGTGGTTTATTTATAAAGATAGCGCCTATTTAAAAATTTGATCTGACGTTTTCAGAGTTGTGAGATTCAGGCGTTCACCTGGCGCTCAGCGCTCGTCTACCCCGCCTGGAACAGCCGTACCTCGGCTAGTGCTTCTGACGTTTGCCGCTGGCTCTGATGTCTCTAGTCTAGTGGTTAAACATGAGGTATAATTCGTCTTGTGTATATCTAACGGGCGATCTTTGGTCTCACAAAAAGAGACAGGGTTGTGACATTTTATTTTATCCTATGTAGGAATATTTTAAAATATATAAATTATTTTATATACATTCTCTTCACTGTATGTAGGCCTATATAAAATAAAATGACACAAATCTTTGTTAAATGTCAGTTTAATGATCAATATTATGTTTAATATTTTTTTCGTATTGTCTATATTATTCTGCAATTGATTTTACATTGTATTGGCTGTTATTATTATTATTGTAATATTATACCACTTGCAATTATCAATCTATTACAGCTATGCTGTTAAATGATTGTATTATTCATAGTCACCATTTAACTTATTATTTTTTATTGTCTATATACTGTAATTGATATTTATTATTCCATTGTTATAGTATTATACATAAACTATATGCTATGATCAATATTTGTATTATTATATTATGTACTTATGATATTATATAATTATACTATTCATTACTATTTTATTTGCCGTATACTGTTTGTTATTTTATTGACTAAACTATTTACTATTACTTCTCACTTTATCTTATATTTACTATTTGCATTGCATAGTTGTACCATAAAATATGTATTATCATAAAGGATCCATCAGTTATCTTTGTTATTGCTAAAATCCGTTCAATCACAGAAAATGCTTTTTCCACAATAAGAAAACTTTATTTAATTTATCTAAAACTTTAATTATATCTTCACAATTCTTATCCAAGAATAAAAAGCCAGATAGCCTACATGACAAGCCTGAGCTTTGACAAAAGATTATTACATTTTTTTTTTATAAGTCTAACTATCGAGATTTTAAATAACTAGAGATGGAACTTTTTGTACACCACGTACAAACCACTGAAATCAGTTGATAAATGTAATTTGTTTTTGTTTTTATCCAGAAAAACCCTAGCTCACCGTTTACTTGCATTAGATTACAGTGCAGTCTTGCCCTCCGCAAAATGGCGGACGCGTTGACGTATCGCAGCAACGTTCCAAAGCGGCCAATAGGGCGTCTATGTATTTATTATGTCTATGGTCTGAATGATATCACATCCTGTCACATGATATTGACCGCATGACTTTATCCAAAATGGTGCCTTTATGTAGGTTACTCTGAATGACATCAATGAAATTCATTTTTCCGGACATTCTTTCTCATAACAAAGCAATGACTTCTACACATAATTTTAATACCATTTTGCACTATGTTGATATATAATGTAATAAAATCATGCCAAAATAAAAAAGATATAAATTTATTACATTTGAAGATATTTTAATCACAAACGAAATGGCTGTATTGGCCTTCAGACGGTAAAACCGAATGACCTTTTGACACTTCAAAATCTTTAAAATACCTTTATATGTAGTAAAATATAATTTAAACCTTTTGGATTCAATAAAAGAGATCAAGTTGTACTACCTTGCATACTTTGGATGTCATATATATATATTTAAAATATTATTAAGGCCTTTGGACAAAAAAAATGACCTGTCACGTCATTGACCCAATGTACAAAAGGTTAGCAATGTTATATATATATATATATATATATATATATATATAATATTCTTTCTTCTTTGCTGCTTAAATTAACAACTACTAGTCGATAGAGCTACATAATTCAGGTTAAATTGAGAATCACATATTTTTTTTATTTTTTTTACAATAGAGATCACAATACTCCCACAATTCTGAATAGACAACTGAACAAAATAACATAATTTTCTAGAGGTTCTGACGAAATGTTTTCTGCTGCAGTCTATTTAAAAAATATATCGAGTTAATTTGAACTTTAAAATAAAAATAAAAAATTGTTTAAAGCTGCAGTCCGCAGTTTTTCCTCTTTGTCGCCATCTCTGTTCAAATCTGCAATCGCAGTTATTCGCGGAGTTATCAACTTTACGTGAGTTGTACTTCGACACGGCACAGCGCGGATGAACACATTGTTTGAGGAGACTGTGAGGCTGTCAATCACCGCGCCGGTGTGGATACTGGCATTCAGAATCACAGATTATTCTTTTTGGAAGTATGACCAACATAAGAATTTTCACCGGAAAATGTCATCTGAACAAGTAAGAAACATCCACTTTTGTTCTGGTTCTGACATTGCAGTAAATCGCGCTGATTAAATCTAACAATAGCTTATCATATCACGCAAAACCGTGCAAATTATACTTTGTTCTCAAATTGTTAATGTTAACAACGTCAGCATTGCGTGACTACATGTAATGTCCTTCCGATATGTATCCTTATTTTCGCATGGGTCCGGTTGCAGTCTCTTTTTTTCTGTAAAGTCCGAACGAAGTCTTTTGCTTTACAGCGGGTGAATCTGTTGTCACTGGTGATTGTCGTTTGCACCTTTCTGGATCCGCCATCAAATTGATACGTTTAATTATATCAAGTGCTGTGAGAAAAGGCTATAAATCTCCACCTCCAACATCCTCATAATCAATATAGCCTACTAGCTGAGACTCCAGGCTTGTTCGACTTGAACCAGCGCTGCACAGACCAATCGGTTTATGACATCAAAGTAACGTGAGAGCGATTGAAAGGCATGCAGAGCTGTCTGCTCTCTAATCGCTCTCGCGGTATTTTGATGTCATTCACCGATCGGTCTGTGCAGCGCTGGTTCAAGTCGAACAAGCCTTCCTTCTTTATGTGTACAGATGTGACGTAATGACGCAAAGACATGCTCGAATCTCCCGCGGAAATCCACCAGTACCACTGGAATTAAAAACATTATTACAAGCTTACCGCTTTGAATCGAGCTACGGCAAGCAGAGAGTTTTGAACACTGGCTGGTTATGTATTTTCTCAAATATGTATTGGATAATTTTTAACCCCAAAAAAGCTACGGACTGCAGCTTTAAATGAATGATTCATTGAGTCACTCATAAAGACTTCACTTGTTTCATTCATTACTGGATGAATCAGTGTTTTTGAAGGAATATCTTGAATTAATGATTCAGTGACAAATACATTTTATTAACAGTCACTTTTCACCAACTACGGGTGTAATGATGTAAACGATACAATCTTTATTTGAAGCTTCAAGTTACTTTCAAAAGGTGATTTACTCTATTTTGATCGCTACTGTAGACATTGTTTATATCTGAACTATAAACTTTTATTCTAGTACTTTTGTGATAATTTGAACTATTTGTAACAGAGAAATAATTATACTGTGTGGTTTATGTTTCTGAAGCTGTTTCATACCTGTACATGACAACTCTCTCTGAGTCAGCGGCAACGCTGTGTTTCACTGTGATCGTACTTGTCAAATGTTTAATAGACATAGCAATAAAATTGTCATTTAGGAATAAGATTGTGTGGGTGTTTGAATCGTGCAGCTCTACTAGTTGACTAGAAAATATTTAGTCGGGGGCATCCTAAAACTTACTCAAGATCTGAAACAGGCAAAAACAAAACAAAAAACAAGACCAACCTCATTCTTAAACCTCTATACTTTCTCTGTTTATTAAATGTCCACTTTCTCTTTTTACAGCTCTTTATGTCCGTTCAATCCATCTATCCCTTTCCCATTGAAAAGGTCATGAAAGCTCCCTCTTCCTGGTCCCACTGACCCCTCACGACCCTCTGACCTTCGACGTGTGTTCCTGTCATCTTCAACCCACTCCTGCTATGCAGCCATGAGCTCTGCGCTATGGAGCCAGGAGAAGCCTGCTGGCAGTTTCCGGGACGACTGGCGTTTCTACATTGTGGTGAAGGAGTGCACCGTGGAAAAGCCAGGTCAAAAGACTCAGCGCATCCCACGCGGCAGCCTTGGTCAGGCCTGTCAGGAACGTAACAGCCTTGGTCGCACGATCCCTCCCAGCAAGGGTAAGCGCAGCCTACGCATCCTGGACCAGACCAATGTGGTGGTGAGCGTGGATGAACGGGACGTGTTGGAGCTGGAGGAGAAGCTGGCGGAGCTGCTGTTCCCCATCACCAACTGCGAAGAGCGTTACAGTCTGCTGTGCAACAGAGCGCGCCTGGACAGGGCCCATGACATCAATTGTGGATCAAAAGTCCGAGTGCAGCTGAGGTCCGGGGATGAGCCCCTTCCAGGCGTGGTCCGCTTTAAAGGAGCTCTGCTGCCTGACCGGGCGCTGAGTGGTATCTGGTTTGGTGTTGAGTTACTGGTGAGCAATGCTGTTTGTCTTGTTTGCGTTGTTTGTCTGGTTTTGTTTTGGGTTCAGCCCTTGAGCGTGTGATCATTACAGGACAAAGCTGCATTTGTCTCCAGGGCTCAGCTGGAAGATTTGAACGAACATAACTACAGCCGGTAGGCTGTTGTGTGGGTGAAGGCCAGACTCGAACTTCACACATCAACAATAACCTTTGTTCATATGGCAAATTTGTGACATTATTTATGTGAGTTCTTATGACTGGATTGGTGTATGCAATGTCTTTTTATCCTCTGAAAACCTTTCTGTCTTTCAGGAGGAGGGCCGGGGTCAAGGTTTCACAGAGGGTTCTTATCAGGGTCAGCAGCTGTTTCGTTGTGAAGATGAATGTGGTGTCTTCGTTGCACTGGATAAACTTGAGCTCTGGGAAGATGAGGACCTGGAGGTGGATCGTGTGACGCTAGAGGATAATGACCCGGAAGTGGAAGGCGAAGTACCACCACTGGAGATCAACTCTCGAGTGTTGGTGCAGACACGGGACGGCCCGGAACGGGGCACTGTTATCTTCTGTGACTTACTGCCTGGCAACGAGAGTCTTGGATACTACGTTGGTGTTGATATGGTAAATTAATTAGACTGGTCAGATGATGAATAACTGTTCTTAGCTGCAAAGTTACAGTTTAATATTAGCATTTGCATTAAGATATGTATTTTTTCAGGTAGATCAGATATTTTAGAAGGTGCTTTTTATGTGAAGTTTATTATTATTATTAAAATACAAGGAATACAAATTCTGGCTTATGCAATACATTTTGTCTGATAACCGATACATTTTTTAAATTATTTTTGGTCTAAATAAATAAATCCCTGAAACCTAAACTCAGTAATTTTAAATGTTACATACTACAGGCATCACATTATAATGTACAGAAAATGGATATTCATTCTGAGATTTGATAAAGATTACATTTAACAGTTTTATTAATGTATTAGTGTGTTTAAAGATTAACTTTAAGTGAGTGTTAGATGATGGCAAAGGTAACCTAAAAATAGGAGAAATGAGCATGAACAAATAAATATCCACTGTCAACTGATGCAGACCACCCCCCTCCAAAACAAACAAACAAAAAACAAAAAGAAACAAACAGTAATGTCAGCCTATAAAAATATAAAATACATGATAAAATACGCCACCGTATGCCATACTGTACCGTACGCAAAAGTTTAGTGTTGGTAATAAATTGTTTTTCGGAAGAAATAATACTTTTATTCAGCAAGGACACATTAAATTGATTAAAAGCGACTGTAAACACATTTCTATGAAAGCCCGTTTCCGCCACAGTTGAGTAAAAAAATATAATTCTGTAAGTCATAATAATGAGAAAGTTTCTCATAATTATGACTTAGTTTCTCATTATATTGAGAAAGTTTCTCATAATAATGACTTAGTATCTTATTATAATGAGAACTTTTCTCATAATAATGACTTAACATCTCATAATAATGAGAAACTTTCTCGTAATAATGACTTAACATCTCCTAATAATGAGAAACTTTCTCGTAATAATGACTTAACATCTCATAATAATGAGAAACTTTCTCGTAATAATGACTTAACATCTCGTAATAATGAGAAACTTTCTCGTAATAATGACTTAACATCTCATAATAATGAGAAACTTTCTCGTAATAATGACTTAACATCTCGTAATAATGAGAAACTTTCTCGTAATAATGACTTAACATCTCATAATAATGAGAAACTTTCTCGTAATAATGACTTAACATCTCGTAATAATGAGAAACTTTCTCGTTATAATGACTTATTTTCTCGCACTTCAACGCATCACAGCAAACATGGCACATTCCACAGTGAATAACATTAATAAATGATCAGTATATGAGACGGGCTTTTATACTAGATAGTCTTTTATTCATTTGTAATATTCATTTGTATTTGTGTGTATAAAGCAGCAACACATAAGGGTGATCCATGGATTTCAAATAGATGGAGGAATGATAAGACAGCACACCTTTCCAAATCTGTTCATCTGGAAATCTGTACAAACATATTTTCAAACAGTTTTGTTTTTGCATAAGGGTCCGTTCATACAGAACGCGCTTTTTCGTTGCTTTTTTGCAGCATATCGCGCATGACACGGCGTATTAAAAAAGCAGCGCTCAATTGAAAAGGAGTTCAGCGTTTAAAAACACGTCTCAAGACCTTGCGTTGTCCCCCATTCCACTGCCCACTTATGTGTAAATGTCTCCAAAGTCATAAACATCTTAAAGGTGATTTCTGTAGCCTGTTGAAATCTTCCACCTGCACATCAAATATCCTAGACGCTACCGCAAAATACGTGTTATAACACATATACCCATATATTTTATGAAGATGTTACACTTAAACTTAACGAATAAATGTAATATTCCAACTTTAATCAGATAGTTTTGTAAGTTCATGTAACACAATTTCATCAGTGTGCACAGGCGTCCTTCGTTACCATGGTAACCGTCCTGCTTCTGCATTCCACTTTCACACCTTTTCGCGCGCATGTACATTTTTATTTTTTATTTTTAATTGATGTTATTTAATGATACTACAGATTCCACTCCGTAGATCACACTGACTTTAATGAAAACAACTGTTTTGCAGAGCGTGCCATGTTTGCTGTGATGCGTTTACACGGCTTTGACCAGCGGATGTTGCTAGCGTGGCACTTCCTTCTGCTCTGCTGCTTTGCGCATGCGTAGAAGTGCGAGAAAATAAGTCATTATTACGAGAAAGTTTCTCATTATTACGAGATGTTAAGTCATTATTACGAGAAAGTTTCTCATTATTACGAGATGTTAAGTCATTATTACGAGAAAGTTTCTCATTATTACGAGATGTTAAGTCATTATTACGAGAAAGTTTCTCATTATTACGAGATGTTAAGTCATTATTACGAGAAAGTTTCTCATTATTATGAGATTTTAAGTCATTATTACGAGAAAGTTTCTCATTATTATGAGATGTTAAGTCATTATTACGAGAAAGTTTCTCATTATTACGAGATGTTTAGTCATTATTACGAGAAAGTTTCTCATTATTATGAGATGTTAAGTCATTATTACGAGAAAGTTTCTCATTATTACGAGATGTTAAGTCATTATTACGAGAAAGTTTCTCTTTATTATGTATGGAAGCCCATTCCCGCCACATAAGAAAAAAATTCGAGCATTCTTAAGTCATAATTATGACATAAAAAGTCGAATTCATGACTTACTAAATCGAAATTATGACTTTAAAAGTCATAAATATGAGATACAAAGTCAAAATTTTGACATACTAAGTAGAAATTATGATTTACTAAATCGAAATTATGACATACTAAATCGAAATTAGGACTTACTAAATCGAAATTTTGACATTAAAAGTTATAAGTATGAGATAAAAAGTCGAAATTTTGACATGTCAAATCGAAATTATGAGATTAAAAAAATAGAAATTATGACTTTAAAAATCGAAATTATGACTTTCCGACTGGCACTCTCATTGTTCTGATGCGACCCGACACATGATGAATTATGAACAGATTAAGGACTATTTCCAGTGGCGGTTCTAGACCATTTCAACTGGGGGGGCCAAGCTGGGGCCAGTTGTACTGTTAGAGGGGCCAGATTTAGATCTTATTGTTGTCATATCATTTTCTGCACTGCACTGCAGGCATTAACAGGCAAAATACCATGTTTATTATCATCATTCAACAATGTATTTGCATTTCCATTATATTTTTACGTTTGCATTACATATTCAGTATTAGTCCGTCACAGTAACTGAAATTGACATGATGTCCTTCTTTCTCTTTATTTTGGTGAGAACAATAGAGCAAAAGCAATGGGGACCAAGAAGCTTATTAATTCATTTACTGAAAACAACTGACTTGCTAGGTAACTACGTCTAACCGTTTACAGGGTTCCTGCACACTTTTTAAAGTCAAATTTAAGGCTTTTTAAGACCTGAAGAAATCAAAATTAATAACGTACATTAGGGGTGTGCAATATTGACAAAAATACATCTCAATATTTTCAACGTTTTGTTGATAATAATTAGATGATATTTTACTGATTGTGTTTTTGTGCTGGTGCCATGGCTGGTTTAGGCCTGTTGACAGCTGACTCACAAAGATATTCATATTTTTCATATTCTATGCAGTGGTCAGTTCACAGCAGTGACAGAAATTATTTTTTTAATTAAGGGGCAATATTTGCCACCTTAAATTGATTTCCAGGGGCATTTTCACCTATATATGGGCATACTTTCTAAACTTATTTAGAGTTATGCATCACCTTTTATGTCAAATACTAACATACAGTAATTATACTTATTTATAGTATAAAATACTTAATTATACAATAATTATACAGTACCACTGTTACCAGTCAAATTCATTCATTCAATCAAAATCCATCTTTGCAGTGCAGAGGTGAAATACTCCTTAATCTGTTCATAACTCATCATGTGTCGGGTCGCGTCAGAACAATGAGGGTGCCAGTCGGAAAGTCATAATTTCGATTTTTAAAGTCATAATTTCGATTTTTTTAATCTCATAATTTCGATTTGGCATGTCAAAATTTCGACTTTTATCTCATACTTAAGACTTTTAAAGTCATAATTTCGATTTAGTAAGTCATAATTTCGTTTTAGTAAGTCATAATTTCGACTTAGTATGTCAAAATTTTGACTTTGTATCTCATACTTATGACTTTGAAAGTCATACTTTCGATTTAGTAAGTCATAAATTCGACTTTTTATGTCATAATTATGACTTAAGAATGCTCTATTTTTTTTTCTTATGTGGCGGGAATGGGCTTCCATAGGAATGGGCTTCCATAATTATGAGATGTTAAGTCATTATGAGAAAATTTCTCATTATTATGAGATACTAAGTCATCATTATGAGAAAGTTTCTCAATATAATGAGAAACTAAGTCACAATTACGAGAAAGTTTCTCATTATTATGACTTAGATAATCTTTTTTTTTTACTCAACTGCGGCAGAAACGGGCTTCCATACATTTCTAATGTTACAAAAGATTGCTATTTCAAATTAATGCTGTTTCTTTTTAAAGAATCTTGGTTGTTTCCTGAGCACAAAATCAGCAAATTAGAATGATTCTGAAGGATCATGTGACACTGAAGACTGGAGTAATGGAGGCCGAGATCTCAGCTTTTCCATAACAGGAATAAATCATCATTTTAAGATATATTACAATGAAAAAGTTATTTTAAAATCTAATAATATTTCACCATATAACTGTTTTTATTGTAATTTTGATAAACAAAATGCAGAGTATTAGAGACTTTATAAGATAAAAAACCTCTGATTGGAGGGATGGATTGAAGGAGAAATGTAGAGACAGCTCAGTTTGCTCTGTGTGACCACCATGATGGCGTGCTGCCAAATGCTCACACAAGACACAACCAACACACGCCATTCCACTGTTCTCCTCTTTTCACCCTTTGTTTCTCTCTCTTCTGTTAAGCTCCTACTGCTCTTTCAGCAGAGCTCAGCTGGACTTGCTATCACTGAGATCTAAATGATGTGAATAGCATTTAGGTTTTGAGGAGTTTTATTACTTTTAGTTTGCTATTGGTCTTTAATAATAGATTGTATAGATTAGATTTGATATGTTTGTATCTATTTTGTAAGTTAAGTGCTGTATTTGAATAAGATTTGATGACAAGTTTGGCTTTATTTGGTCGAGTAGATGCATAAAATAGTATCAAGGAAAGGGCTATACATTAGAAATATAAATTAAAACCGAAAACAGTGGAGATCTGGCATGTGAAGGGTGTGAATTTAGACTTCAGATACATCAGTCATTCTGATGATAGTGTAGGTTGTGTAGTGTAGCCATTGGAGAATTACAGCTCTCAGTTAGTGAAATGGGTCCTGTCTGGGTCAGAAAATGAACGCAGTTGAAGATAGAGACAGGCCAACTTTTGTTTGGAAATTGTTTATTTTGAGGTGGAAATTACAGTGTTGTAGCTGTGAATGCTTGTGAGATGATCTAGGTCAGGTGCAGTAATAGGGTGCTGTACCTCTCGCCCTCAGGACAATCCCATTGGAGACTGGGATGGGATCATCGACGGTAAACAGCTGTGTAATTTTGCTAGTCTTGAACACACCCGTCTCGTCCCGGTCTGTGATGTGATGCCAGGTAAGGGTTCTCACTTCATACTTCTGTATTGGATTTTATTCTGGCTTTTAGTGTGGTTACTTGCTGCTAGAAACCTGGTTTTAGTTGTACTATTTGTTTCTAGATTGAGTTTGAGCACCTCAGATGCAAAGTTTTACAACAAGTACCTTGGATGTTAAGTACCTATGAATATAAAAATCATAGGACAAGATTTTTTTTTTTTATAAAATATTAAATTAATTTTAAAAGTAAAAATAATTCATTACATTTATTTTAAAATGTATAGTTTATTAAATTGCTTTTCTTTCGAGTTATTGTTTATAGATATAGATATTTCATTGTGTGTTTTAGACTTCAAGTCAGGGTGTAGGCTAAATATTTGTTGTCAGAAAGCGCACGCGCGTGTGTGTGTGTGTGTGTGTGAGTCATGTTAACTTTCAGGAAACAGAAGCTCTTTTGTCTAAAGGTCTTGTTTTTGTGAGTGGAGTGTGTGGAGCTCTCTTTGTTCTCTCTATTTAATGATTTGTTTGTTTGTGTGCATGTTTATGTGTGTGGGCAAGATGTCTTGGTTGTTAATGTCTTAAAGCTACCACTCTTCCTTATTCAATCTGTAAAACTAAAGGGATATTTAACGCAGTTACCAGGGTATAGCCCGCGGCTCTATGTGTGATACTGTATGCGATTTATATACAGTGCGTGCATAATTATTATGCAAGTTGATATTCTGATCATATTTTTTTCAAGCACATTTTACCAATTCAAAACCACATTAATCTTAACTACTACCGGTATACATTTTCGCCTTATATTCAGGTGTGCATAATTATTAAGCAGGTTTCCTTTTCAGAAAAATGGGCCAAAAAAAAGAGATTTAACTCGCACTAAAAAGTAAAAAAATATGAAATGCCCATGAGAAAAAATGCAATAGTCAAGTCAAGTCACCTTTATTTATATAGCGCTTTTTACAATACAGATTGTATCAAAGCGCTTCACAGTGATAACATGAAAACAATATAACAAAGTTTGTTTCTAAAAGAAATTGCGTCAACGTCCACCTTAAGTAAGGCAGATCAATAATATTATTGAATATTAAATGTCCCCAACTAAGCAAGCCAAAAGCCAAGGCAACAGTGGCAAGGAACCAAAACTCCATCAGGTGACAGAATGGAGAAAAAAACCTTGGGAGAAACCAGACTCAGTCAGGGGCCAGTTCTCCTCTGGCCAACGAAGGAACAGTGCATGATTCGGGCAGCATTACAAGTCAGATTGGATCGGAACATTTAGAGTATTTTTGGAAGTCCAAGTATGCACCCCGGTCTTAAGACGAGTTGTTGAGGATCAGTGCCGTCCACCATAGAGAGTCCATATCGCCCGTGTTGAGTCGTCACTTCATAGGCTTTGTGATTGGAGCATCTGAAGTCTCCGTGAGAGGCTGGATACAAACTGGAGCTGACGAACGCCATTTTCTCGGGACTCGCGTCCCGAGATAACAGCAGAAAAGCAAAGGGAAAATAATTAGCGTAGCTGCTGTTCATAATGATGATTTCCATAACACAGGCGTAAAAGACAAAACATGAAGACAGTGACTCTTGCGTCCCAAAATCACCCCCCTCCGTCCCCCACTCAACTCCGCCTTGCTTACTGACCTCTACGTCCCTCCTGCTGCTGAGACCTAACCACAATCTCACAATCTCTCCGCAACCCAACCATACGCGCCAACCCGTTGACTAAGGCTGTCGAGCCCCACTGGTGCGTGAATAGGCAGTTTCAGTGGACAACGGTTCCGTATGGCATACTACCTACCGCAACACAATATCTGCCCAACCACCCGTCATTCACGCAATACACAGGAACGTAATGACTGTAAATACTATGCAACCTATACAGATAACCTACAGTCTCTTCAAGTTTTGTAGTATTAAATGCATTTGATCTGATTCAGCAGTATTATAAAAGGTAAGCATTATGTAAATGCTTGGCTAAAGAGATGCGTCTTTAATCTAGTTTTAAACTGGGACAGCGAGTCAGAGCCTCGAACAATATCAGGAAGGCTATTCCAGAGTTTAGGAGCTAAATGTGAGAACGCCCTCCCTCCTTTAGTGGACTTAGATATCCTAGGAATGACTAGAAGCCTCGAATTTAGTGATCTTAAAGAACGCGATGGATTGTAGGGCGATAGAAGGTCCATTAAATACACAGGAGCTAAACCATTTAGGGCTTTATAGGTCAGTAATAGTACTTTGTAATTGTAATACCAATGCAACAGTAGAAATTGCTAAATTAAGGCGTAACCAATGGACAGCAAAAAGCTCATTGATTCAGCAGGGTCATACAAAAACAGACCAAAAAGAAAATACATGTTAACTGCAAAAAGAAAAGGAATTAAGGTGAAGCATTAGATGTGAAACCACCAGGAACCCTTTAGTCTCCAGTTGCCAACGGCAACCTACCTGGAGTCTCAGAAGTACAATGTGTCAGGATCTCAGAGACTTTGCTATGGTAAAGAATCCTGAAATATAACCCACACTTAAAGCAGCACTAAGTATTTCCTAAGGAATTCCGTTTTTGTCAAACAGAGACCCCTAGAGTCGCTGTCGAGCAGGGCTCGAGACTAACGGCGTCCTATCGTCCTGGGGACGATAGAAAATGTGTTTAGGACGAACAGAAACATTTTCCAGGACGCCTACAGGACGAAAAACATTTTTGTATGTGTGTTCATTTATTACTAGCCTATTAGGCTAACTTACTTATGCCAAATGCCAAAATTAACCGACCAAGCGCTGACTACAACGGAGCGCGTCTTCTCATGCTGTTACTATAGTTACTATCACTGGCCGGCTACTCACCCGGAGACTTGTTCCGCGGTACATCTATCAAATGGCTTAATGACATCGCAAATATGTTGCGCTGGTTAAACAACGGATATTCAATGAATAAAAAATAGACAAAAATGTTAGATAGTGACGATTTAGGAAGAGATCCAGTCAGAGATGTCCTGCGTTTGTGGTAGATGTTTTTGTATTAACGTCCTTATCTACCCAGCGGCACACGAGTTGGCATGCACTGCATGTCTCATAAAACGTTAAAACATGTAAACGTCTGGGAGAATGAGTAGACCGCACATATATCTGAATAAGAGTGACGACGCAAAAAAAAAGCTCTATTCGGTGCGGTTTTCTGTGCGCACACACGACCGAAGCGTCCAGCCATAGACACACAGCACGCGAGGACTGAATTGAGCTCTCTTTCGTGTCTGAATGGACAAAACACACACAACATTATGTCTAAATGTCCGTTTTGGAGAGTATTAACTTAAACTAGGTCGGTTATGTATCGGATGTGCATCAGTGGATTTGGATCAGCATGTCATTGGACATGATCCGACGTCTTAAAGTGACAGTGGGCAATAAACCTAATGCGGTCTGTGTCCTTAATATTGATCAAGCAACAAAAGAAAAAGAGAAAATCATTCACTGCTCGTTAATAGCTTTAATAAGGATTCATTATATTTAATTCATACAAATAAATATGTCTGCTGCTTGAAAAAATAAAGAATGATGTATGCAAGTTAAAAAGAATGCATATATCATTAATTGGAAAGAAGACTGTTCTATTCTAGGAAAAGTGGTTTTATTTAATTGTAAGATATTTTTTTTAAGTCACAGTAGTTAAATCTGTATCTGTATTGCATGTTCAAACTTTAAAATCATTCATATTAACAGGTTAATGTTTTCTCCGGCACAAAGACCTCAGTCAGTACAAAGACTGAGACGGAGACACCGATTTTTTCCCCAAATTCTGTGTTCTAGAGAAGTCATATTACACTTTTTAAAGCCCTTTCTCTTAATAACACATTTCCAGATGATCAGCTATGACACATTACCACTTTGAGAAGTAGTCACCAGTATTTATTTGTTATTGTTTAATCCAACCATGTAAAAAATAAAAAAGGGAAAAAAAAAAGATTTGTTCTGCATGAATACAAAAAAGCATTTAACTCCTTTTATTTTTTATTTATTTTTTATTGTTTTTTTACCTATTTACAGATAACTACTTTGAATGGAGCTAACTAAATATTATAATATATATCATAAACACTTTAATGGTGTTTTTATTATGTGACTAACAACTATAGATGATAATAAAGTACAGAAACAACATTTTTATTTTGGGACGGTTGACATTCACTTTAGGACGGTTCAAATTGTTTATCAGGACGGTTTCAGGACGGAGGTGAAAAAAGTTAGTCTGGAGCCCTGCTGTCGAGTACTTGAACTGTCGTGAATAGCACTCACGCAGAGATGGCTCGCACTCACGGCCGGATCCCCTCCCCCTGTACACCGGTACCTGTTCAGTAGGATGGACGCTGTAACGAGTGGAAATAAGGTATGGCCCCTTTAAGAGCTGTGCGCGCCCAACACCACATGTATACGGCGCCGGGTTATTTCTGTTTGATGTTCATTTTATCAGAATTTTATCAGATCTGTTTTTTGCCGTAAAGCAATTCGTTACCTCGCGAGACCTGATATCACACACGATACTTCCTAACACTGAGGCCGGCGGCTCGCCGGCCCAAAGTTGCAAGGGTGGTTTTGCGGCTCACAGGCACCAGGGGGGTGCGAGACGACCACCATTCAACACAAAATCATTAATATAAACATTACAATGACTCCAAAGCTGTTCAGTTAAGGTAAAAACGTTACTTAGTTCACCTTTAATAAGAATCACAAGCTGAAGTGATGTGAATTTTTTTTTTTTTGACTTTTCGGTGCGAGTTAAATCTCTTTTGGCACATTTTACCTGTAAAAGAAAACCTGCTTAACACCTGAATTTAAGGCATTTTTCACTTCCAGCTTTCCTTAACAATTATATATCACTTATAAATTATTAAATACAAAATTAATTGTAGTTATTAAGATTGATGTGGTTTGGAATTGGTAAAATGTGCTTGGGAAAAAAATATGATCAGAATATCAACTTCGCAATATCAACTCGCACACACAATGTGGACATTTTTGGAATCAAACCGAAAGTTCAGATTATTACATTATTAATGTTATTAGATAAATCCAATAACTTAAATATATATATATATATATATATATATATATATATATATATATATATATATATATATATATATATATATATTTAAGTGAGAAAAATATCTCATTTGTCCCATGTAAGGAAGATAATCTTATGGATTTTGAATGACATGATTAAATGTTGATAGAATATGTGAGCAGTTTGTGTGTCTTTATTTGCTTACAGAATACTCCATGCAGGATCAGAGGCTGACCAAGGTCTTTGCCTGCAGGGGCGGCAGTGACAAACCTGGCAGTCAGAGCAAACCAAAGAGCAAAGGTAAGTGTCCGGTTATATCTGTATGTACAGTAGTCTATATGTTTTTACAAGATAACATTTTTAGATGCTATAATTCATTGAAAGACCACATCAAAGACTAATACTAGCATAGCCAAAGTAAATAAAAAGATCTTAAGTAATTATTGAATATAAGTACACAGTCATTAAAGTTATTCAGTCAAGAGCTGTGAGTGATTTTTCTCTTTTTCTTTTGTTGTTTGATTAAAATAAAGGCATAGACAGCAGCAGGCTAATATCACTTTAAGACCTAATGTACGGATCATATATATTATTGATATACAATGCGATTTTCTCCCAAGTGTTTACATTCACTTAAGACATAATCAACAGTTTTTTTACGTGAATGCTCTTCAAGATGGAGATTTTGACATATTTTTGTGAGTATTTGACCATTTAGTCATGAGCCCAAATGACTAGCAAGGATTGACTAGGCAAGATTTCACTGGTTGTGTGCAATCAGAAAAACTGCCTACATCTTGCCCCTTTCAACATATCTCCTTTGAAAAATAAACTAGACACTGACCACTGCAGTGTCCCATGTGAAATGGCCTTTAAGCCCAAAGAATACTTTACCTGTCCTCATCCTGCTCTGTCTCAGAGAATGCACACAGGAAGCCGCCTGTCAGACACTATATATTGTGATGTTATAGTATGCATTTATTATGGCTAAGCCATTTTGGTGATTTTTATTTTATTTTTTATATACGGTTTTTAGTATTGTGTAGTGCAATTTCTGTTGGATTCTTCTTCATAGGTATCACTGGTATTGACAGTGCTATTATATTAGGGAAACCTGACATAAAGATCATACGCCTGTTGTTAAAATTGTTGGATTTTATTTACTTGATACGATGAAAGTCTGGTTTGAAAAACTGCTTGTTTGAAAGAAATGTTAACAAAAAAAGATAGCAGAAAAACAGTCATTCTTTGGTACTGATGGACATCCTTTAAAGTGGTCATGACATGAGAAATCAAATTTGCCTTGATCTCTGGACATATAAGAGGTCTTGTACCATTAAAACATCCTGCAAGTTTCAGAGCTTTAAACATCCTCCTCATTATAAACAAATCATTTATTTGATCAAGCTCCTTAAACGACTGTGTTTGATATTGCGGGATCTGTGACATCACAAAAAATACATTTGCATATGACTCCAGAGCAAGACATCGATGAATAGTTATACTTCATTGCACCATAGGCCCCGTCCACTTTCATTCATTGCATTTGCCTACACTAGATCAAGCGGCAACATTCTAATCTGAAAAATGAAGCCTACCCGGAAGTGTGAAAAACTGCAATACATCGAAAATCCGCTAGGGGCAGGTCCCAAAAGGGAGCAAATGTCCGTTTTCACAGCATAAATTCATGTTTTTACAGGTTGGTCCCATGGACTTTTATTGTATTTTTCGATAGGTTCCGAGTGCCTGACAACTGTGAGGGGGGTGAATTTTTTTCTAACTCGTTAGTTTAGATCGTATTTAGATATAAAATGTATGACAAATAAGGGCGTGGTTAACTTTGATTGACAGCTTGATTGACAGCTGATAACGGGCTGGGCCGAGTGAAATTCCTGAAATTTGACGTCTCGGCCATGATCTGACACAATACATCATACCACCTCTGTATTCTTTCTGAACATTTGTATTGAAATATCGTACATAAAATGGGTTGCTCTGCTATAAACTGCACTAACCGACACTGTAGGACTAGCAGTACTTCGCTCCTTTTTTTCCGGTTAGTGACATTCCACTACTATTTCACGTAGTTAGCACTATTTAGCATCAATGTTTGTGGGCAGTGGCACTGCAACAGTTAGCATTAGCATTGCTGCTGCCTCAGATAAGTTAGCGTCCAAGGTAGGGACAGGTGGGGTTTTGGGGGGCTAATACAATGCTAAATCATAAATCAGATGTACCTATGTACAATAACATACCGATGTCCACCAATCGATTTAAATACTACATTGTGTTTAATTTGTCGTTTAATGAGATCTAATATGTCGTTGTTGGTGAGAATTTTCATGTGAAGAAATACATAGATCCGACAATTACATGCATGCACTTTAATGGTCCAGTGGCAGAACTTTTGCCAAGGCGTGTCAGAGGTTCTAGGTTCTAATCCACACTCGTATAGTTTTTTTGCGTCTGCCAAATGAATAAATGTAACATAAGAATAGACTGATATGTCCCACATTGGAGTGTTCTTCAGCAGCTTTCCAGTGAATGTAGTAGCCATAGACTGTAAAAAGTAGCCTAGTCTGCCAGTCGATCTTGTAACGTTACAGATAGCTGAGGCTGCTTGGCTGAAGCAGCACTTTTACCCATATATGGATTGGCCAGAAGGTGGGTGGGGTTAGGATTTCCCAAGATTTTCAAAAGATGGCGCCGCCCATACCCCCCATAAACGGCCTCAAAACCGTTATTCAGAAAGTCTATGGGTGACGTCACAGACGCTTTGTCCATTTTTTTTACAGTCTATGCACTAGATGCGATCATCACGTCACATCAAAAGCAAATAGAACCCATTATAATCACTGACGCTGTCTATACTGGATACAGTAAACAGATGCGCATTCAGTTTCTGACAAACTCCACGCACTTGAGTCTGTCGCCAACAGGACAGATTTAAGAATGAAAGAATTTTCACTTTGACGTGTCCAGTTTAAACAGCACGTTTACATTTCTGTACTGACTTCAGAAGGATCCCAGAATCGGAAACAAGTGGATGGTTTATTTTAATTGCGTACCGGATCGCATCGGAGGATTATATGTTTGTTCGGAGCATTTTGTTTTGTAAACGAGGCACACTGTAATGGAGAGTTTGTAAGTAAACTTTTGTTGAAAGATGTTTTGGATCTGACAGCAGCTGCATCACAAACCACAAGTAAATGATTTTATAATGCTATGTCTGTAAATGACATTATATTGATAATGTTTTCAAAACACTTACTCGTATACAATAACGAGTGGGCATTCATACTGTTTCCTATGCAATGACGTTAGACTATCATAACAGTGGCCCTTTTACTGACAAGCCTTAAAGGAGCCGACTCTAAAAAACAGGATCATTTCAGACAGCGGTTTAGAATGAAGGTTGAAAATAATAATTTCTCTGCATATATATTTGTTTGTTTTTTGTGCAAAAAACTTTGTAAACATTATAAGTAAACCTAAAGAAACATATTAAAATAATTTTAAAAAATCCATGTCATGACCTCTTTAAGGAAATGGTGTTTTTGGGGGTTTTTTTTTTATCCCTCTCTAGAACCATTTTCTATTATCTTAACATGAGCTGGATATGACATAATAAGCTTTGCTGAACACTGCATGCCTTGCTTTGGAGTCTCTCTCTCTCACTCACTGACACTCACTCACTAATTTCTGCAAGAATACACACAAATGTCTGAGTTGTTATGGTGACTTGACATCCATTTACACATCTTAGATTTTGCTTAATCCCACATGTAGAAACACATATTCCCCCTTTTTCTTGAATTCTCTCTCTCTCTCTATCTCTCTCATTCTCACACACACACACACACACACACACACACACACACACACACACACACACACACACACAGAGAGACTCACACTATTTACTGTCTATCTTCCTATCGTGACTCTTATTCAGGGTTAGGCCTGCAGCCTGGCAGCAGGAGCAAGTCTGAGTTTTATTATACACTAAATGGCAGCTCGGTCGATCACCCTGCCCAGTCCAAAGCCAAAAGCACATGGTACATAGATGAAGGTAATCAATAATCAATACAAATGGAAGACTGCAGAACTCTATTGATAAACATCTTAACAGCAAGGTGCCATCCTTCTGATGTCTAGCCTAAAATTAGAGCTCACTTCACTTTAGGTTCCTTTAATAATCTTGTCATGAATAAGTCATCACATGTTAATCAATGCCTTTGAATACATCAGCTGTGATTTTAAAAGCAACTTGCTGCTGAGATCTTTTATTGGGAGTCTGGTTCACTGTGACGTGAGTGGTATGCGACCTCATAGCATGACATCATTGATCAGAAAATGAACATCTCAGGTGTTTTTCTGAATGTTCTGTACTACAGACATTTGTGCTTGCATTTCATATTCAGTTTTCAACTAAATTTAGCTATAAGGCAATACAAAATTAATCAATTAAAATAGTTTAATTAAAAAAGAGTAATTTTTTTTTTTTTTTAACTGCATTAATTTGTTAGTTGCACCATATATGGCATATTTATTATTTGTGACTATGTACCGGTAATTTTATGTTTGTATGATTTGTGAAAGCCTTTTATATTTGGTATTGCTGGTACAATCAAGCCATATCTCCACTCATCCATTGTGTAAATGTTTGTGATTCTATGTATGTGTATTTGGGGTTAAACATATTGGGACACTGTATTCCTTATAACATTGCTTTCATCTGTGTAACTATTTCATATTTCATGTCACACTATACTAACATGCACTATTGGAGGATGTTGCAGGGGCGGCTTGTTATTGGTTATGGGTTTTATGTTGTGTTTGTGGCCTGTGCTGCTTTTGTTCTCCTTCACCGTCTGTTCACCACAATTCTTATGCTTGATTCCTATGGTGACTTTTTTCTGCAACACATAACAATGTTTACCAATATCTTCATATTTTATGTGTTGATATGTGCTTCAGTGAGGAGAAAATAACCAGCACTGATCAGCTCTGAGAGGACATCATATTTTAGCTAAGCTGTGGTTTAGTATACACTACATTACTGTTCAAAAGTTTGGGTCAGTAAGATTTTTTTAAAATGAAATTCATCCTTTTATTCTTCATCATTTTATCCATAATTTTAAAGTATGCATTAAATTATCAAAAGACAGTAATGGCATTTATAATGTGACAAAGGTTTTCTATTTCAAATAAACATTTCTTATTATGAATGTTGAAAACCATTGAAAACATGAACAAGAACAAGAACAGCTTATTTTTATGTTCTATTCCTCAGAGAATACTGAATTTTTTTAATCATGTTTTCAACATTAATAATAATAATACATGTTTATTGAGCTCCAAATCATCATATTAGAATGATTTCTGGAGGATCATGTGACTGAAGACTGGAGTAATGATGCTGAAAATCCAGCTTTGCCATCACATCACAAATAGAAAACAACTGAATTATATTATTAATATTAATATTTCTCAATATTACTAGTTACTATTACTGTTATTATTTACTGTATTTGATCAAATAAATGCATTTTAGTGAGCATAAGAGACTTCTTACAAAAATATTACCAACCTTATTTATTAATCTTTCCAACCTTAAAGGGGTCCTGCTATGCTTTTTCACTTAATTTTTTCCCCAACTTTAGTTAGTGTGTAATGTTGCTGTTTTAGCATAAAAAAGATCTGCAAGTTTACAAAGCTCAAAGTCCACTCCAAAGAGATATTTTATTTTACAGAATCCCCTTTTCAAGAACTACAACAAACGACTCGTTTGGGCTACAATAGGTAGATAGGTAAATCGCCTGTGAGCTCCCACGACAGCAAAAATCGCACCGGCTTAAGGCTGACGAACTTAGAGTGGTTAATTTATTTTAAACACTGTTCCTGAACATTATAACCCCAGCGTTTATCAGTGCGCTGCAGATTTTATGGAGAACAGCCTGTTTTCTGTTGCTTTTGTAAGCTCTCACTTTTGTAAGACGGTTCACCGCTCCTTAGGAAAATTAACCATGGTTCTGTGATCGATTACTGTTTGTATTACCTTCAATTTCCGACAAATATCACAATTAAATATTGGATAACATCGTATCTATAATGTATAATAAAATTACAAAAAAAACATACCACTCTGAAACCTGTGAAATCCATGCTTGCAAAGTCTGTGCATGAAATCCATTTTGCACGATCCTCTTGTTCATTAACATTGTCAGGATCTGAATCGGGCTCGAATTGGTTTGAAATAACCTTAATATTTACACTAGAGAAGAACTCGCAGTTATGGAGAGACGGGACATTTCCAGAACACATGCTAAGTGCTGCCAATCACAACACACTGGGCCGGCTAACCAATCACAGCACATTTCATATTTCGGAAGGAGGGGCTTTATCAAAATCGGCGTGTTCGAGCCAGACCGGGAGAGAGGCTGTAGTAATGTAAAATATGTGAAAAATAATGCGTTTTTTAAACAATCAAGCATGAAAACATATTCTAAATCAACTAAATCAAGACTTCGTAAAAGGGCATAATATGACCCCTTTAAACTTTTGAACGGCAGTGTATAAATGTAAATCTCTTTAATGACAGACAACTGTTTCATTCAAGTCATTTGAACCATTTATTGTAATTTCATAACATTAGCTGTGATGTCATCTGATGGTTTATATTGATTGATCAGTTCCTGGTCTTTCACACACTGATGCATTTTCTGGTTATTATGACCTCTTGGTACCTCTCATTTTTTTGGCTTTGTTTCTTGATAGTCGGTGAGGACCCGGCCAAATCCCTGACGGACATGCCCCCAGACTTCAACCCAAGCTCGTCCCCCTCTCGAGCTCCACCCACAACCCCTTCGATGTCCATTGATAACAAGTTCCACTCCCTGCCCTTCAGCTTGAGCCGCAAAGTTGGCCCCAATGGGAGCATGAGCCACGGCCCCCTCTCCCTGTCTGCTGGCTCAGTGATGGGAGAGCAGCAGGAGGTCCTGCCACCTGCTACCACGCCTGTCCAGAGGCCTCCATCACCACCACAAGGCCAGCCAGGGTTAGAGGTTGGGTCAATGGTGGAGGTCAAAGAGAACCCACCGCTGTGTGGGGTCATCCGTTGGGTTGGTCTACCTCCAGGACTACAAGAGCCACTAGCTGGTCTAGAGCTGGTCAGTAGATTCATGCATGTTTGCTGTACTGTAACTATGAAGTGAATATAAAAACACTAGCATTCAAACTAGCATTCAAATCTGTTTTCAACATTGATAATAATAAGAAATGTTTCTTCAGCAGCAAATCAGCATGATTTCTGAGGGATCATGTGACACTGAAAACTGGAGATATGGCTGCTGAAAATTCAGCCATCGCAGGAATAAATAACAAATTATAATTTTAAAATATAAAACAGTTATTTTGAATTGTAATAATGTTTCACAATATTATCGTTTTCATTGTATTTTTTGATCAAATGAATGCAATCTTGGTGAGCATAAGAGACTTATTTCCAAAAGATTAAAAAATTCTTTCCAATCCCAAATTGTTGAAAGGTAGTGTATATTAGTGTATATACATTTGCTATATTATAAAGTGTTTGTTTCTTATGTGTGTGTTTAGGAGGAAGAGTGTGTGGGCTGCACTGATGGCACATTTAAAGGGATCCGTTATTTCACGTGTCCACCAAAGAAAGCTCTGTTTGTCAAACTGAAGTGTTGCAGGCCAGACTCACGATTCCCATCCTTACATCATTCACCCAACCCCATAGAACGATGCAACTCCATAGGTAATAAACACACTTCAAGTGTCAGAGATGTGTCAGTGCATGCGGTTATGATAAGCCTACAGTATTGTTTACTTTTACATTTAATCATTTAGCAGACGCTTTTATCCAAAGCAATATCCAACAATAGGGCAACAATATGTACCGGTAAGTGCTGTGACTAATCCCAGTTAGTCTAGCACAGTACATGTAGCAAGTTTTTTTTTAACAAAAAATAAATAAATAGATGTACAGAATAGTGTAGTAAGTGTTAGTAATTATTAGTCAAGTATTTAGTGGCTAAAGACTCAGCAGCTCAGGTTGAGATAGGCAGGTCTATCCACCAGCAGGGAACACTCCAGGTAAAGATCAGTGAAAGTGATTTTGTGCCCCTTTGGGATGGCACCACAAGACACCGTTCACTTGCAGAATGCAAGCTTCTACATAAATCTGAAGTGGTGAGATTAGGTATAGGGGTGCAGAGCCAGTGGTTGTTCTATAGGCAAATGACAGTGCCTTGTATTTGATGTCAGCGGCTATAGGCAACGCGTGCAAATTGATGAGAGGTGTGACGTACAGTACACTCTCTTCGGCTTGTTAAAGACCACTCTTGATGCAGCATTCTGGATCAGTTGCAGAGGTTTGACAGTGCATGCCCATCTGGATCGAACAAGAGCTTGGACAAGGAGTTGTGTCGCATGCTCCGATTGGAAGGGCCTGATCTAGAGCAGATATTGCAGTTACATTAACACATTAAAGGCCCAGGTATATGGAAGTAAAGTAATGCCAAATGTTTTTGAAACAAAAAGCCTGTTGAATTGCACCACTTGAAAAAAATATGCATTGCATTAACCATGCTTGCATTTTAATGCATTGTATTTTTAGGACTTGCATTTTTTATTGGCTCAAATTCGACATGGTTGAATATTTAAGCTGTGAATATTTCAATTCAAAATATTTCAAACACATTTTCATTATTCAAAATTCAATAATCCATATTCACCCTTCATATTTCACTTCCAAAATATTCAAACTTTTTAAAAATACAACCTATAATATTCAACAGGCATTTTTCGGTCCATTTTATTTCGCTTTACAAATTCGCCTTTCACAAATTCAGTGGTTCAAATTCGACAGTAAATTCAGCACTGACATCCAGGAACTGCAGGAAAAGCAGTAGATTACCGAGCATAATCCCCATCTGCTGTTAGTCGAGCTCACCAGCAGGGGGTGCAAGCGCGTGATGTTGGCCATAGTATATATATATCTATGGATGTTGGCGAACATAGACATGTTGGCGAAGACCGAACAACACAGTTAGAGCAAGCCATTCATTCATAAAAACACATTTATAGTAATGTAAGTGTATTTGTGATTATTATGAGTGTTGTTTTTATGTTTAATTCAGTGTCTTCGTGGTCCCTGTGTAGCCTACATGCATCTTTCTCTACCGTGAACGAGATTATAATGTTATTCCCCCGATGCTGATGTAACGTTACAGATCAAATGTTAGGCCTACATTTGAGGTAGACAGATTTCTCTTGGTTGTTTAGTTGCCTTAACTTTATATCGCGGCGATGTGCTGCAGTACTAGGGTTTCCCCTCAATACTTCAGGATTGCAAGGACATATAAACCGCGTAACGTAGCTGGTGAGCTCGACTAACAGCAGATGGGGATTATGCTCGGTAATCTACTGCTTTTCCTGCAGTTCCTGGATGTCAGTGTTGAATTTACTGTTGAATTTGAACCACTGAATTTGTGAAAGGCGAATTTGTGAAGCGAAATAAAATGGACCGAAAATTGCCTGTTGAATATTATAGGTTGTATTTTTAAAAAGTTTGAATATTTTGGAAGTGAAATATGAAGGGTGAATATGGATTATTGAATTTTGAATAATGAAAATGTGTTTGAAATATTTTGAATTGAAATATTCACAGCTTAAATATTCAACCATGTCGAATTTGAGCCAATAAAAAAAATGCAAGTCCTAAAAATACAATGCATTAAAATGCAAGCATGGTTAATGCAATGCATTTTTTTTTAAGTAGTGCAATTCAACAGGCTTTTTCTTTCAAAAACATTTGGCATTATTTTACTTCCCAACAGGTATTCTTCTTTTTCCACATTCCGCTCTGTCTAGCACATTATTGAGAGCGCAAGCCCTTAAAAGTATACTCTATTGACCCTGAACGTGGTTAGACGTATTTGGCGTGTGCACACTACCTAGTGGACCTTTGTGTTTGAGCGCTAAAATTATTTGCTGATGATGAAAATGACATTACGAAGACTTTGCGAAGTCAGGCAAGGGAAATAAACTTTTGGCTTAACAGTGAATGAACCAGCATTCCAGAGGGTTTAAAAGCAGTATTTTTGTTAAAGGAATGTTTATTTTTTTATCTCTACAGTTCTTTTGTGCGAATATTTTTTAAAGTGGATGAACTTACCGGTTATGTGTTACAGACGTGTGGGTGAAGTTTAAAGTGGTTTACTGATAGGTGTATATCAAATCCTTTTCTGGTATCTTTTTGTGAATCATGCATAAGCTTACTTCTCCATGACAAAACAGTTTGAATAAAACTTTGCACAGATAAGAGTAGGAAGTGATTCTTGCACACTTTTTGTATGTTAACATGTACAATAAAACTGTTTTGTGACTATACTCTGAAAATAGCATGTTTTTATATTGTATATTTTGTTAACTGGAAGTTAAAGTTTTGTGGTATATGTATTAATTACATTTATGCCACAAATGCTGTCAGTAGAGCTTAGCTTGTATTGATGTCAGAACCCATTTTTTTTTTATCTCAGACCATTGAAGCTCATATTGTACTTGATTGATGTGACTCATCAGTATGTTTTGCTGCAGCTTTTGGGGGTTATCTGAGTGAAGTGGTTAATGAGAACACTCCTCCCCGGACGGAGAATGACGGTTTGGAGGTGATGGTGGGGAAGAAGAAAGGAATTCAAGGACATTATAACTCCTGCTATCTGGACTCTACGCTGTTCTGGTGAACACACACACACACACACACACACACACACACACGGTGTAATGGTTTTTATACTGAGCTAATGACATTTCCTAGCCCCTAACCTTAAACCTACCCTAAAAATTTTTCTGCATTTTTACATTTTTAATAAATAATTATTTAGAATGTTTATTTAGCTTTTTGAATTACAAGGACATCGGCATATCCTTATAATGTAGGGGCTGTGGCCTGAAACCTGAATACACACTACAATATAAAGATGGTCCTCACAATGTAGGTCAAATCAGTACACTACACACACACACACACACACACACACTTACTGACTTACACACAAGTGTTTAATATCTCTGTATCTCCATGATATCTACACAGAGACATTACATTTGTTTGACATGCAATGCATAGAAGATGCTTAACAGATTATAAACTAATATTTAATGTTACAATTGTAAATATGTATTTCTCTGTCTCTCTCTGTATGTCAGTCTATTCTCTTTTAGTTCCGTGTTGGATACAGTACTCTTAAGGCCAAGATCCAAGACTGATGTAGAATATTACAAAGAGACTCAAGAGTTACTGCGCACAGAAATAGTCAACCCACTACGAATGTGAGTGAAACACAGTTTATTACCACACATTATTTGGCTGCTTTATCTCTATTAGCCAATATAATATTGTTCATCTAAATATTCATCCAAATTCTCTTTTACCTATTCTCTGTGACAGGCCTGGTTATAATCTTTTATTAATCTGTGTTCATGTGTATTTTATTAATCTGTGTTCATGTGTATTTTTTAGACATGGCTACGTGTGTGCCACTAAAATCATGAAACTTAGGAGGATATTGGAGAAAGTGGAGGCAGCGTCAGGATTCACTTCAGAAGAGAAGGGTGAGAAAAGTCTCATGTTTCATGTCACTGTAGAAGAAATGTATTGATACTGCCCTCTGTAGGTGCAAACAGAAAATGATTTTCACTCTTAAAGGTGCTATATGTATTTTTTAGCGGCCTCTATCGGAGATGTTTCAGATTGCAACCAATTTTTACAAGAGCGCTCGTGCTCTTGCGCGTGCTCGAACTCAAGAGCGAGCACTCATGGTATCGGCCACACTGAGACTTTCAACACACCGGAGAAAGCATCACACAACATGCTGGAAACTCATGTAAACTCTCACTGCAACGTTACAATAATAGGCTACTTTTATCAGCTTGACGTTGAACTAATGCTCCATGCTCGTACCATGATAACGTTACATTGACTGCATTTAGCCGACATGTGGTGTTAGCATAATAAGGCATTTCACTAACTCTTCGTGTATCTTTCACAATCAGCAATGTCAACATAGGTGAATGTATAATATGATAACGAAAACAGTTAGTGAACTAGACTGAAGAATTTCAGTGTAACAGTAAGATCGTAGGAAGTAACATTACTGTACTAACGTGTCTGGAAATGTGTATTATAAACAATATGATAGTAGTGGGATGAGTGACGTTAGACAGTAGATCTAGTGCATAAAATAAAAGTTACATCCTAAAGCACCTACTTTTTGTTATCCTGGAACAGGATAACAAAATGTATGTTATAGTTTATGTAGTTTACCTTGCTATTTCATTACAGTTTACCATTATTTCAGCATATCTGAAAACTTGTAATTTATCACAATAAAAATAGCGGGGGTCTCTCCATAATTCAAACGCTCTGCCGATGTTGATCCGTGTTTTCGTCCTAAGTCGATCCGATTCACGTTTGGCCTGACGAGCTTCAGCAGATACATTTTTGTTTTGTTTTTTATATTTATGTGGAGTTTGTGTTGGGAGTGTGTGTGTGCTGGAGGCAGGTCGTTTTGGGGTGTTATCAGACTCCATGTCGTCAGCTGCAGTGCCGTCGCATAGACTGTATATAAAAAGGAGAGAGGCTCGGGTGCACGCATGCACGTCACATCCGATGGATTTCGCAGAAAATCCGACCCGGAGACTTCACATAGAAATAGGAATACTGGCGTTCAGAGGTAATAGCAAAACCCGGCAAGTGGATCATTGTAATGTGTGATTACAACCCCTTCACACACAGGCAATAAAAAAACAGGATTCATTTTAGAAGAAAAGTTACATATAGCACCTTTAAAAAAATACATTGTTTTATTCAGCAGTTGAGTTATTTTAATTTTGAGCATCTGCAATATTGAGGAACAACACAAATAGAGAATTAATTATTAGAAGTTTATCCATATGATTTTTTTACAGGAAATGTTGATACTACATTGTATTGTTTGGAAAACAGTACTCTATACTATGAAATATGAAGAAATAATGTTTTCAGTTACACAATACGACTGCAAAACTATATCAGACCTGTCATAATATTGTTATATGAAATCTTGTTCTTAGATGTTAAAACATAAAACATACTATAGTATCCCCTCAAAACCTGTTATTATTATACCAATTGGTTTGGGAATGGATTTTTCCAATTTAATTTTATTTTGAGTACATCCTGCTGTTTTTGGGAACATTGTGCTTCCATACTGAAACGCAGGTGGCACAGTTATGTCCACTTTGTGCTTTTATGAAGCTATCCCCTGTTATGACACACAGAACATTACATTCTTTGTACAAGCAGAGTAAAAAAAAAACGTTACAGATAAAGTCATTAATTTTAAGGATGATAATTTTTTTGTTTTCAAAACCTAGTTGTTCATAAAAACACACATGATCTATAGCACCAAATATGTATTAAATGCTAAATATTTATTTTACTGTACGTTTAAATTATGTGGGACCTCAATGGGATATATATTAAACACCTAAAAAAAATTACATTTTTTTTTATTAGGGTCTGCGTATTAACTACAAATAATTAATAGATGAATTGTTTTAAGTTATTTCGCATTTTGATTTGAATGGTGTGAATTGAAATAAGTTATTCTCTCTGTTTAGATCCTGAAGAGTTCCTCAACATCCTGTTTCATCACATTCTGAGAGTCGACCCTCTTCTCAAACTTCGGTGTGCCTCTCACACACCCTTCAACTCCATGCTAGAATCAGCATATTTGGGAACTCAACAAAGCTAGTATTAAAAAGTGGTGTTTTTATCTTTTATCTTACCTTTTTTGCAGGTCTGCAGGGCAGAAGGTACAGGACTGTTACTTCTATCAAATCTTTATGGACAAGAAAGATAAAGTTATGGTGCCAACCAGCCAGCAACTTCTGGAGTGGTCCTTCATCAACAGTGATCTCAAATTTGCAGAGGTATGTACACATGGCATGCTCTGTATCATTGATAACCATATACAGTCAAATCAAAAATTATTCAGACACCAGATATAATTTCTGATTTTTTTTACTAGTGGGTGCAGGATACTGTAGTTCATTTATGTAAGTGAGGATAGCAATATAAAGTAAACTGTGACATATACCCAAATATTCTTCATACAGTGGACTACTAGTAAAATTTATACAAATTTGGGACCAAAAATTATTCAGGCACTTTGACCTGACCATGTTTTGCTTAAGTGTTTTTTCTTTAATTGCTAATGCGACCTTTTAACACCACAGACTGAACAAAATTAAGTATTGCTTGGTAATTGGTTGAACTAAATTGGTATTATCTAATTGTGTACTCAAATTTAACAGATGACAGTTGACAGCTATTCAACCTAATTCATTTGTGAGACAGTCTAACAGAAGGATGGGCAAAACCAGTGAAATATCAACTGATTTGATAACTCTTGTCATATTTTATTACCATTTTCGAAACTATAGCGAATAAAATGTGATAATGTGAGAAATGTTGAAGGTGTCTGAATAAATTTTGGTTTGACTGTAGTTAGTGGAGAGGCCACTTTTACTTCCATATTTTTATTGTTCTTTACAATATCTTGATAAAAATATTTTTTTTAAAAATTGTATATAAACTCACTTAAAAGGTTTGAGTTCAGAAAAATTTGTAAAATGTTTTTGAAAGAACTTTCTTATGCTCACAAAGGATGCATTTATTGGATCAAAACTACAGTAAAAACAATATTTTGAAAGTTTTCTATTTGAGTATATTTTAAAGTGTATATTTTTCCTGTGATGGTAAAGCGGTGTCTTCCAGTCTTCAATGTCACATGATCCTTTAGAAATCAATCAAATATGCTGATTTGGTGCAAAAAAAACTTATTATTATCAGATTTGAACCATGATATTTTTTTTAGATAAATAGAAAGTAAAAAAAAAAAACAGCATTTATTTAAAAATATAAATCTTTTGTTACATTATAAATGTCTTTTATTGTTACTTTTGATCGATTTATAAATGTCTTTATTGTTACTTTTGATTGATTTATAAATGTCTTTATTGTTACTTTTAATCAATTTTGGACCTTGCTAAATAAAATGATCATTAAAAAAATAATAATAATAATAATCTTACTGACCCCAAACTTTTGAATGGTAGAGTAATTGGTAAATCAATTTGAGCTACTGTTTCTGAACTTTTACATTTATACTGCACATTATATGACTACTACTACTACTACTACTACTAATATTATTATTTTATAAATTAGATGTTGAATTTCTCCAAATAAGCACATAGAACAATCACAAAATTAAAAGAGAAAGATGCATTCAGAGGAGAATATACACATCCAAATATTGTTGCTTAGGACAAATGAAGGGGACTGTCATGTTCTTGTCTGTTTGTTTCTGTCCAGGCCCCTTCTTGCCTTATAATTCAGATGCCTCGCTTTGGGAAGGACTTTAAGATGTTTAATAAGATCTTCCCTTCTTTGGAGCTTGACATCACAGATCTATTAGATGACAGTGAGTCGGTTCAATAACTGAATAGATTGCAGTTATTTGAATAAAATTCCACATACCAAAGTAATGAATCTGTGTTTGAGATAAAGAACTAATTTTATAGTAATGTATCATTCTAGCTGTGCTCTGCATTTTCAGTGTTTAAAGGAAAATGGTATAACAAATGTTTTTGTCAGCCCCTAGAGAATGTCGAATCTGTGGTTGTTTGGCTCTTTACGAGTGCAGAGAGTGCTACGAAGATTGTGACATCACACCAGGAAAGATAAAGCAGTTCTGTGAAAAGTGCAATACACAGGTAGGACACACACACAGACATGCACATTTAAGCACAAAGGTGCTCATCTGGATCTCATCTTGTCTGCAATACCTTTGATATCCACTAGATGGAGGCTTTTCCAAATAAATCATTGTTCAAATGCATTTACCCAAGTTCAGACAACTATAACAGTTCCTTACAGTGGTTGAATATAGATTAATGTGCATATTTGTGTGTACCTGTTTTTTCAGAATATTTGACACTGAATATGTGTTCACTTCCTGGACCTTTAGGTACATCTGCACCCACGGCGCAAGTCTCATCGGTATGTCAAGTTATCTGTCCCTAAAGAGCTGCAGGAGTCAGTGTGGAGGCAGGGATCTTACCCTCACCAGCAGATGGAGCTGTTTGCCGTGCTCTGCATTGAGACAAGCCACTATGTCGCCTTTGTCAAATACGGATCCTCAGACTCGGCCTGGCTGTTCTTCGATAGTATGGCTGACCGCGACGGTACAGAGGACCTTTTTTGTGTTATTGTTTTTTGATTTCAATTGAACTTTCACTCATTTTTGAGTCACGATAATAAATTGACTCACCATTCTTACCTTTTATTGAATTTACTGTCGCTAACTCTTTTGTTTGTTTGTTTTTTTTCTAACTCATTTTCTCCGTTTTTGGTGGCAGGTGGTCAGAACGGGTTTAACATCCCACAGGTATCCCCGTGCCCAGAAGTAGGGGCCTACCTGAAGATGACCGCAGAGGAACTCCACGCGCTGGACCCCAAGAACATCCAGGGCTATGCACGCAGACTTCTCTGTGACGCCTATATGTGCATGTACCAGAGTCCTACCATGAGCCTCTATAAATAGAGGGAGAAATAAAGACGGACGGAAAGGTAGGAAAGAAAATGGCCGAGAAGGAGAGAGATTATGGAACGAGGGAACAAAGGGGCTGTGGTGAAGAGAGAATGAGGAAGAAAAAAAAGAAGAAAAGTGCCCAGGAAGACGCACTCAAGATTGAATATCCCATGTCCAGTTGCCTCATCCTCTTCTGCATCTCTGTACATACCGCAGGGTAAATACGGCCATATGAGCGAAGGCGAGATCAAGAGAATGAAGGAAAAAGCCTATTTGCACTGTGTGAGAGCGTATGTGTTTGAGTGTTTGTTGAAGTGTTGTTGTTTTCTCTGATTTGTGCCGTCTTTGACTGAGCTCAAACTCTTGAGTGTTCGGAGTGGCGTTTTTGCTACATGGAGAGAATCCACGATCTTTCCAGCATATCGCAGACACTCACTCACCTGATGGCTTAACATTCTCCTCCTTCCGCCAGAACTGACCCCTCCAAACGGCAACATACTCTACCCCTGTAAATGAAGCCTTGGATGAAGGACCAAAACGAGATGTTTCCCTTCCGTCTGAATGCTTCCACTCATCAATGACCCATTTTAATGCACTGCAGCATCCAGCATTAATCATAGTTCAGACGGACTGTGTGTAGTCCCTGTTTTTTGCCTTTATATTTTGCTGTGAAGTCTTTGTCAGGTGTGTTCACATACATAAAGCCCTCGACTGCCATGCACTGGTCCGACAAATGAGGTGATTAAGCACACAATTTTTTTTGACATGAAGAATAATATAATTGAGCTTTTTCTTCTTGAATTAGGAGTTATTTCATTTTATTATAATTATTGATTTTATAAATATAGATTTTTTTTTAAATATATATAAAAAATAATAGCAGCTCCCCAGGCCATGCTCTCGAAGTGGTAAAAATATCAGTAAGTTACTTGTTACAGATACAAGTCAATTTTTGCAAGTATTATGATAACATTATGATATTTAAAAAGTTTCAAAGCTGATTCAAGTTCCTGTTTGTAAATGACATGCTCTGGTTTGAGTGTTCACTGATGAGGTTGAATGGGCAAAAGCTGTCTCGCTATACTGCAGCACTGTTGGCTAATTTGCAGTAACACTGTTCATCGAAATACTGGTTTGATGTACCATACACACTTTACCTATGGGTTACTGGATTGTTTACACAGCCTGGTTATAACTGAAGAGCTATGAAAAGAAACATGCACTGGGATTGTTTTTTAATCTCTGCTAATGTAACCGTACACTATGGGAGAGATTCTCCGTGAGCGGCTGTAATGGGAGAAAGGATGACGACTGGTGTACTTGTGTAAAATTAAGCCAGGTGGACTTTATTATCTCTGTGCTGTTCTCCTAAATGTTAACTAAATTAAAACGCCATTTTGAAAACAGCTTTTTGTGGTAATGGCTGCACTGCTTTTGATTTGCTCATTTGGGATTATGTCTGGTAAAATGAGCTTTTTTTTAAATAGAAGTGAAGATAAGCAAGAGGAAGGAGTGCAGTTTGTGTGTGTATGTGAAGTGGATATTTACCTTGAAAAGTTGACAGATGTGCCACCAAGCTGTGAGATTCTCTGTCTTCGCATGTCACCGAGATGTGTGCAGCATTTGTGCTTTGATGCCAACAGTGTTTTCATCTGCCACGTGTGTGAAAGTGTGTTTGTAGACTGTCTTCAGCAGGTAGACGGGCGAGGTGTGTTTGGATGTCCATTGCCTTCAGTGTTGTCATAAGTCTGCAAATGTTTGTGTGGGGATTTGTCTACTGCCAGCGGTGCTGCTGCTTTCACCTGTCACCTCTGTGGATCTCATTAACATGGTGTCACGGCCGGGGCATGATGTGGTCTCGGAAGCAAACACACCAATGCTGGACAGATGGGGCTGATGTGTAGTGAAGGCTCAGCAACCGGAGACACACACACACACACACACACACACACCACATTGAGGCCCCGCTCCTGATGACCTCGTATGGTCATGGCAATTACATGTACAGTTGTACCAGTAGATGTAGCCATATAGATTTCTGGGTTATTTTAATGTGTCCTTGTTATGGTGTAATTACACAAATAAGTAATTAATTACTTATTAAATAAATAAATAAAGCAGTAATTAATTAACAGCATGTACTTACTATAGGTTTAGGGGTTGGTTTACCGTAGTGTTAGTTGCTAGTAATTATCGATAATTTACTCTTGTTACAATAGTAATGTAACGTGTAACAAGGACACATTAAAATAAAGTGTTTTTCGTCAACTGTACATTTGAAAACTCATAATTAAGTCTGTTGGAGTTTTATAAATTGTTTCTCACAAATAAAAATGTACACTCCACTTAAGCAACTCAAACACATCTCTGCCTTTTAGTCTTGTCGTTTCACGTCCATTTCAAGCCTGCGAACTGCACAATTGTCATGCTAGTATTTGTCGTCACAACAGCTGGCTCACAATGCTCTCTTGTAGCTTTATGCTGTGGCATATGCCTGCTGTGTGCCACGTGCTAATTTAGCCTATGTTGGCGTTACCTGACCAGATGGAGAACAGTATTGCCATTCTCACCATTAGACTATCGCCTTGGGGGGTGAATATCAAATAAAATCAAAGCATATGGTTTCCTTCTCTGTCAACTTTGATTCTGACAAACAGAAGATCTGCTGTTGTTAGAGGTGTACACTCCCGATGATAGTTCAGGAATATAACGATGGGTTTTAATGTGTGCTTTTACTTTGCGGACTCAAATTATTTTGCTGCTTGTTCAATTTACTTAATAAGCTAACAGAACACAATTCTTGAACATTTTATTTAACTTAACTTTATTGTGTGCAATCCACTTAAATTTGTAAAACAGAAGTTTACTCAAGCCCTGAAGACAGTTGTTTTTGTGACATACACAAAAGTAGACTCATAACTCTAAAACTATAGCAAGGAGTCAAAAGGTAGGTATTGTTTGATAGAAAACTTTCATTTAAAAAAAAAAATCATTACATTTGGGCATTCTTATGCTGAGAAACTGCTGATAAAAGACAAAAAATATATTATTTAAAAACAATAATTTTACATATCTCTTATTTGACATGCATAACAAAAATTAAGTAGGAGGATAATAAGTGGTGCGGTTGCGAATGATGCTCTATTGGGTTGAGATCTGGTGACTGGGGGCCATTTTAGTACAGTGAACTCATTGTCATGTTCAAGAAACCAATTTGAAATGATTCAAGCTTTGTGACATGGTGCATTATCCTGCTGGAAGTAGCCATCAGAGGATGGGTACATGGTGGCCATAAAGGGATGGACATGGTCAGAAACAATGCTCAGGTAGGCCGTGGCATTTAAACGATGCCCAATTGGCACTAAGGGGCCTAAAGTGTGCCAAGAAAACATCCCCCACACCATTACACCACCACCAGCAGCCTGCACAGTGGTAACAAGGCATGATGGATCCATGTACTCATTCTGTTTACCCCAAATTCTGACTCTAACATCTGAATGTCTCAACAGAAATCGAGACTCATCAGATCAGGCAACATTTTTCCAGTCTTCAACTGTCCAATTTTGGTGAGCTCTTGCAAATTGTAGCCTCTTTTTCCTATTTGTAGTGGAGATGAGTGGTACCCGGTGGGGTCTTCTGCTGTTGTAGCCCATCCCCCGCAAGGTTGAGTGTGTTGTGGCTTCACAAATGCTTTGCTGCATACCTCGGTTGTAACGAGTGGATATTTCAGTCAAAGTTGCTGTTCCATCAGCTTGAATCAGTTGGCCCATTCTCCTCTGACCTCTAGCATCAACAAGGCATTTTCGCCCACAGGACTGCCGCATACTGGATGTTTTTCCCTTTTCACACCATTCTTTGTAAACCCTAGAAATGGTTGTGCGTGAAAATCCCAGTAACTGAGCAGATTGTGAAATACTCAGACCGGCCCGTCTGGCACCAACAACCATGCCACGCTCAAAATTGCTTAAATCACCTTTCTTCCCCATTCTGACATTCAGTTTGGAGTTCAGGAGATTCTCTTGAACTAGCAAAAGCAAAAGTGTTTGTTTGGGAGTTGATGGCAGCAATCTTCCACTAAATTATGGCACGTTGTGGCACGTTTTCAACATGAATGAAACTGCGAAATGTCTTCTTTAATGTGAATTTTACATAAAACATTGGTACTTTTAATAAACCTGTAGCCTATAAATATCGTTAATAATTTTGGCAAAAAAAAAAAAAAAAGCCATATATCCCCCTCAAAACTGCACAAATGTATAGTAAAACATTAAATAATAAAAGTGATAGTAAATGCGTCTAAAAAAGACTGACATGATTGCTACAAATCGCATTGTCTGGGGGCTCTGCCTTTGAAGAACTCAGAACTACTGTTAGCATAAAGTTATAAGGTAAAAATAACTGCCATTAAATTATAGCATCTTACTACTATGCAATTAGATAAACTGTTCATTCATTACATCACTTTACCTCTGTCTTTATCCCCTTGTATCCTCTTCTCTTCTTTTTGGCACTGTATCTATCGCAGACTATAATGCTAATTTAAATGTGTCATGAAAATTCGGCCATCCGTCACAATGAGGTAACTTTCACCGTGTCTAGACCTGGCGTGAGCAGCCAGGCCCGTTTCTACGGGAGTGCTTGAGCGTGTTAAGCGCCATCAAACGAAAGCAATGCTGTCTACATTGGATGCGGCGAGGGGCGACGCTACACGACAACAAATGACCAACTGTAAACCATAGACTGTAATGGTGTGTTCACACCGAACGCGAATTTAATTATTTGCGCGAGTAGATTAAAGTCAATGCAAAGACGCGAATAGACGCATCATTCGTGCCGGGCGTTGCGAATGACGCGAATTGGGCGACGCGTTTGCCGCGAATGTCTTCTGCGCAAGTTGAAAAATGTGAATTCGAGCGAATGTTCAAGCGTCTAAAGCCTTGTTTATACTCGACGCGTCCGCTCGAGCGCGAGTCTCCGCTGACTGCGCGCGCACCTCTCCAAACGGACGAGGCGTTTATACTTGACGCGCTCGCCGTTGTGCTATTCTGTGAAACGACAGGGGGCGACTCGGAGTAATTCTCCTCTAAACCACCAGGAATCAGCAGTGAAGAAGTAGTTTGCCGTTTATTAGTAGTTTATTAATAGCTGATTCATATTAAAAGAGTAATAAATTCATATTAAAAGAGTAATAAATGCAGTAGGTGTATTGTACTTGTACAAACTCGTTAAACAACTGAAGCCTTATTGAAGAGTGTTTAAACCTTAATTTCATCAGCAGGGCTTACTTCTGCTATTGTAGGCTTATTTTATAAATGTAAGCAGTTACTTAGACAAGTGCAAACTGGGTGCTTAATGCAAATGTGTTCCTATTCACAAAATTAGAGGCTTTTATGGTCGCCCATCAATGCAAATGTCTCTGTGTATAGAAGGATCATAAACATGCTGGTACAGACGTACCAGTTCGGCCTGATTCGGCTCGAAGTCGTTCATCTTCGGATGCGGCGCCGCGAGCGATGTTACAAAAAGTGCCGTGCACACCGCCAGGCGAAATGGGGTCTTGCGCACCCAACGCGCACGACCGCCCACACCGCAATTCCGTAATTTTGCCGTGCGCACCTTCGCGCTCTTGCGGACGCGTCGAGTATAAACAAGGCTTAACTAGACGCCATAGACGCGTATTTGACGCTCTATTCGCGTTCGGTGTGAAAACACCATAAAAGCTGTAAACTGATCGCGCGCGCTCTGTTTCTAATGGTGCGTTCACACCGGACGCGAATAGCGCGTCAGGCGCGAGTGATTTCAATGTTAAGTCAATGCAAAGACGCGTTACGCGCGTAAAAAATTCCTGCGGCGCGAATGAGGCGTAGAGCGCGGCGCGGTAGACGCGAATGGCGCGAATTGAAGCGTCTGGCGCGGAAGCGCGTTACGCGCGAATGATTTAGTTAGTGCTATTTGTGCATTCACGCGTTTGACGCGAATTCGCGTCTGCTGCCCGAGTTGAAAAATTTGAACTTCTGCGTCAATTCGCGCCGCGTTAACCAATCAGGAGCCTGCTTGCTGCTGTCACGTGGTGAAGTGAAAGTTTATATTATTTTAATAAATTATTTTGTAATATTACTAAAATGTCTGGTGTGATTGATGCGCCGGACCGGAGTCGGGGGACTTGTTAAGTTTTTGTGGAGTTGTTTTGCTTTATTTTGTAGTATTTCGAATTGATGGTTTTAAAATAGTAGCCTATTAGTAAAAAATAATAATAATAATAATAATTCACTCATTTTGGCGCCCCTATTGAGTGGTGGCGCGCCTAGCATTTGCCTATGCCGCCTATGCCACGGGCCCGGCCCTGAAGATAGAAATGGCTCATTCTAAGGTAATTAAAACACAACAGTTCATTATGTAAGGTCTT